CCACATTTGATTGACTCGTCACCCTGTACGTTAGAAAAAATGGCTCCCACACGAGATTGATATCCTAGGAGGTTTAAGAATAGATATAACATGACCGTATTTGCCTTTAATACAACTGTAACAAATTTGAACACCGATACATTTACTCGTTATTGCCCATTTCGGGCACATCAGGAGGAACAAAACCCCTCACTCGAATTGGTCGCCGTATGTTGATGTAGGCTTTCTTCTAATTGCTACATATGTGTTACTGACCTGTATGTACAACGCGAGCTGTATCATCAGTACATGCTGGAATAATATTCTACTTTCGGGGAGCGAATGGTAAAGGTATTGACAGTTCTGAACTTACTGCTTTAAATTCAGAGATTATGCAGGAACTTCGTTCAATGAAAAGTGAGCTTGCACGTGACCTTTGGGACATTAAAGCCCAAACTCGCAAACTCGGTGCTACCATGGAAGATATTAAGCGAAATATGGAAGACCTAAAGGGTGAACAGACTATATTACGTTTAGATATTGAGACAGTAAACGAACGTTTGGACCAAATAGAGCAGACTCACAGTATACCAGTAGATCCCACAGCTACAGAGATACAGTTACAGAACGAAGTGGAAAGACTAGAACAATATAGCAGAAAGAACAATGTTTTGTTATTTGGAGTTTCGGAAAACATTGATGAAAACAAAATTATGTAGTTTGTGACATTCTAAACTCGGGTAATACAACAGATGACATCTTTGAGATACGTCAACATGATATTGCCGAAGCGCACAGACTTGGGCATCGATCTTCACATTCAAAGCGGCCAAGGCCAATTATTATCCAATTCCTTACTATCGACTGGAAAATACGTTCCCTTAGTCGACGTAGCGACATCAAAAGTTCAGGGTATGGAATCGCCAGCGATCTAACACAGAGGGCGCTAAATAAGCTACAAGAACTACGTGTACAAAACAAATGAGGACACGTCAAGAATGGCGCACTTATTGTTACTGACGCCAATCAAGACGCAGCATATACTGCTTACACTGGTGAGAGATCTGATGATACTGAGCAAGCTGGTCATAACACGCCCAGTGCTGGCAAATAGGGATGTGGTCCAGTCCAAGCAAATTCTCGTCGATGTCCAAAACAATCATTATCAACTGAGCTCCTCTTCAGGAATATATCTGGTTTGGTAAATAAAGTAAACTTTATAAACTTTTTATCTAATGCAGACCTTGTTGGAGTAATAGAGACATGGACAATTGACTTTCCTTATGACCAGATATTCCACAACTTTACAGCCTAAATGCAATTAAAACAGCTGACAGGACGATTCTCAGGATGCTTAACCATGATTGTGAAAAAATCCGTCAGTGTCTATGTGAAATGGTCCAGAATTGCAGACAATGCTATATTTTTACTTTTAGATAAATGTGTATTTAATATCGAAAAAGACATTCTTATTTGCTGTGTATATGTCAATCCGCCAGGATCAAGATGGTTTATTAACAGTGTGGTTTGACTTTATTCTCTAACTCACTTATAGAAGTTATTGGGTCATTAAACAGAGATATACATATCCTCAAAGGCGGGGATTTCAACGCCCGGACAGGGACACTGTCTGATCATATTGACGATGATATCGCCGATGTGGCGAGAATATGTCAAGTCTGTCCGACAGTATCAACATAGATAAAAATATCATGCGATATCATGGTAAACAATGCCGGAAAATATATATGTAAATATGTGTGCCGCTCTCGACAGGTCTATTCTAAATGGTCGATGTGGTGCAGATTTAGGTATAGGTGATTATACTTACATCGGTCACTCAGGCTCCAGTGTAATTGACTACATTATTGTATCCAACAGTCTCTTCTTCCACTGTAACAGATTTGATATTGTGTCGAGGGCAGAATCCTCACACCTTCCACTATCTTGTTCATTTCAAGCACGTGATCAGGAGATTCCCGTTGAAACAGCAGGGGCCGCACGTGCGCCTCGTGAAAACTACCACTATGTGTGGGACATGGCGACACTACAACAGTTCAGGGATAATCTTGTACTGCCACATGTGGTTGATTGTTTTGAACAATGTACTCTGTTACTACCAGATAATATAGATGGTGCTATTAAATCATTCACAAAGGCCATTTGTAGAGCTGCTCAATGAATGAAAAGGACTTGTAAGTCTCGCAACAGTCGCTCACAAACCTGGTTTGACACTGAGTGTCAGCACTATGGATGGGAGAGAGAGAGAGGTCTCTCAGATTATATAGACATTTTAAGAATGATAGCACCTTAGTTAGTTATTTATAATCAAGAAATACTTATACAAGTTTATTACATGATAAAAAGAAAAGTTATAATGAATATATGGGTAATAAGGTTTTATCTAGGCTTCCAAATAGTAAATGTTTCTAGTCTACCATACGGGGATTTTTTCTCAGAGTTTGGCAAATCATGTACCTAACATATCACTAGAACAATGGGCCGATCATTTTAAAGATGTGTTTGACAATCCAACAGATGAAGATATGGTTAACACCGACACGACTATTAATGATAGTCATGATGATATGAGTTGCTATATTCTGGACACCCCATTTCACAAGAGGAGGTGCTATGTGCTATTAACTCTTTGAAATTTGATAAATTCGCAGGAAATGACCAACATATTACATATTTTTAAATATGCGAATGCTATTTTTGTCCTGTATCTTACAGTGCTGTTTAATAAGTTGTTTGATAATGCCCACTTTCCTGAATCTTGGTCTTTGGGAGTTATTGTTACGATACATAAGTGAGAGACATCCATTCCCCATCCAACTATAGGGGTATATCAGTTCTTAGTGCACTGAGTAAGTTGTATGTTTTTATTTTTAACAGAAGGATCACGTCTTGGTGTGACATCTACATCTGGTAAAATTGCAGAGTCCCAGGCTGGTTTTCGTCATGATTACTCCACCATAGATAATATCTTTTGTATTACAGTGTATTATCCAGAGATATATCAGTAAGCGTAAGGGTAGGGTATATGGTTTGTTTGTCGATTTTGCAAAAGCCTTTGACAGTGTAAACCGGATGAAATTATGGTCAATACTAGTCAAGAAAGGTGTCTCTGGCAAAATGATAAAAGCTATACAGTCTATTAATACAGCTGTTAAGGCCAGTGTTAAATTTAAACATTCATTTTCTGAAATGTTTCAGTGTCCAAGAGGAGTACGTCAGGGTTGTGTGTTAAGCCCCCCTTTATTCTCGATGTTCATTAACGAACTAGCTGCTGAAGTTGAACAGAATTCTGGACCAGGAATACAACTTCATCCTGATATTACAGAGATATTCCTGTTATTGTTTGCAGACGATATTATTCTAATCGCAGGTGGACTAATAGGTGGACTTCAGAAGCGTATTGATGTTCTAGAAAAGTATTGTAATGATTATGATTTAGACGTCAATTTGGATAAAACTGAGGTGGTTGTTTTTAAGAAAGGTGGAGTGTTGTCAAGAAAAGAGATCTGGTACTATAAAGGTCTAAAGTTGGAGTGTGTATCTTCCCTTAAATATTTGGGCGTTCCTTTAACGAGAAGCCTGTCCTGGTCAAATTACGTCTCTAATGCTGGTTTACAGGGGGAAAAATTAATGCTTGGATAAAATTGATAAAATTACATCCTCTTCGACTTGACATATTTTAAAATATTTGATATGAAAATAGTCCCAATTTTGCTCTATGGTTCCGAAGTCTGGAGTCTACCCCGGAATGATGAAATGGAAACCATACATACATTGCCTTGCAAGGGCTTCCTAGGTGTCAAATCGTCAAAACCCAACAACATGGTTCGAGGTGAATGTGGGCATTATCCTTTATATCTTATCTTAAGGTTATTGAGTATGTCTGATTGTCGCTTTCCAAGGAAATGTTATTATATGTTGCTTCAAGCAGAAAGTAATGGTAAAACTAATTGGGTCTCAAAGTGTAAATCTGTATTGTTCAGTTTGGGTTTGGGCTCTGTAATGGAAAACCAGTGTATATGTCGTCCTCATTCGTTTTTGTCAGAGTTTATGTCGAAATGTAGTTATGAACAGGACTGGCATAGTCTTCTGGAAAAGGGTAGTAAATCTTTCTCTTATTCTCTATTCATGGTATCGTTTGGTACAGAGTTGTATCTTAGCTGGGTATCAATAAATTGTGAGTGGCGCTTGCTCGTTTTAGATTTTTTTCCATCAGCTATGTGTTGAAACAGGGAGATACGCTAATATCCCAAGTGACAGAAGATTATGTTGTGTTTGTAAGGCTGGGTATGTGGAGGACGAGTATCATTTTTGTTAGGTTGCTCCAGTTATAACAAGATGGATCACTTACCACAGAAATATTGTGAATATCCGACCAAACAAAAATTTAATATCATTATGTCTACAACTGATTGTAAATTAATTAAACAGCTACCTATCTATATCTATCAAGCGATGTCACTTCGTAGTACATTATTGTCAGCACAATAACAGCTGTGTACATCACGTCCATTTAAAACAAATGTAACCATGGGCCGATGGCCGATGGCTTACGAAATAAACCGAATTGAACAAAACCCAATACCCCCCTCCCCCCAATCCCACCTCACCCTCATACACACACCATCACCGACACAGTGGTCGTGGTAGTGGCAGTTGCTGTGGCAGTGGTACTGGTAGTGGGAGGAGGAGGAGGAGTAGCAGCAGTAGGTGTAGGTTCCTGAGCTGTATTTCATCCGTTACAAGCAACCCATACTTGCCGTTAAAGGCGACCATGCTTGTCGTAAGAGGCGACTAACGGGATCTGATGGTCAGGCTCGCTGACTTGGTTGATGCAAGTCATCGTATCTCAGTTGCGTGGATCGATGCTCAAGATGTCAATCACTGGATTGTCTGTTATTTACAGACCGCCGTCATATAGCTGGAATATTGCTGAGTGCGGCGTTAAACAACAAACAAACAAACATCCTGTTTCAATTCAATTCTTTATTTTATTTCAGCTACAGATGTTTGACCGGAACAAAGATGGGAAGCTGCAACTCAGTGAAATGGCAAAGTAAGTAAGGGATTTCGACGATTTCGGAAAGAGAAGGAAATACATGAGGGAGTTTGGGGTCGCAATTAAGAGAAACGCGGAAACACCCGCAGATCGTTGGGGTCGGAGCTAAGAGAAACGCGGAAACACCCGCAGATGGTTGGGGTCGAGCTTAGAGAAACGCGGAAACACCCGCAGATGGTTGGGGTCGGAGGTAAGAGAAACGCGGAAACACCAGCAGGAGAGTAGGGTCGGAGGTAAGAGAAACGCGGAAACACCAGCAGGAGAGTAGGGTCGGAGGTAAGAGAAACGCGGAAACACCAGCAGGAGAGTAGGGTCGGAGGTAAGAGAAACGCGGAAACACCAGCAGGAGAGTAGGGTCGGAGGTAAGAGAAACGCGGAAACACCAGCAGGAGAGTAGGGTCGGAGGTAAGAGAAACGCGGAAAAACCAGCAGGAGAGTAGGGTCGGAGGTAAGAGAAACGCGGAAACACCAGCAGGAGAGTAGGGTCGGAGGTAAGAGAAAGGCGGAAACACCAGCAGGAGAGTAGGGTCGGAGGTAAGAGAAACGCGGAAACACCAGCAGGAGAGTAGGGTCGGAGGTAAGAGAAACGCGGAAACACCAGCAGGAGAGTAGGGTCGGAGGTAAGAGAAACGCGGAAACACCAGCAGGAGAGTAGGGTCGGAGGTAAGCGAGAGTGAGTTGAGTTTTACGCCGCTTTTAACAGTGTTCTAGTTATATCACGGCCTGTCAGCTTAATGTGGGAGGAAAGCCCGAAGTGATGCAGGTCTCAGACGTTTACCACTTCGGGGAAACCCACGAGCACGGGTATTCGGAGCTAAGAGAAGGGCGGAAATATCAACAGTGGAGTGGGGTCGGAGGTAAGAGAAAGGCGGAAACCTCGGCGAGGTCACCCGCTACTGTCAATATGGTGTTGTAGTGTTGTAGTGCTGTGGCTCGATGAAACTGGTGGTAGTGATAGTAGTAGTAGTAGAAGTGGTAGTAGTAGTGGTAGTGAAAATAGCAGTGGTGGTGATGGTAGTGATAGAAGTAGTAGTAATAGTGGTAGTAGTAGTAGTAGTAGTAGTGGTAGTAGTGAAAATAGCAGTGGTGGTGGTAGTAGTAGCAGTAGTAGTGTAAATAGCAGTTGTGGTGATGGTAGTGATAGAAGTCGTAGTAGTAGTGGTAGTAGTAGTAGTAGTAGTAGTGGTAGTAGTAGTAGTAGTAGTAGTAGCAGTAGTGAAAATAGCAGTGGTGGTGGTAGTGGTAGTAGTAGCAGTAGTAGTAGTGTAAAAAGCAGTGGTGGTGGTGGTAGTGAAGGAAGTAGTAGCAGTAGTAGTGGTAGTGGTAGTAGTAGTAGCAGTAGTAGTGTAAATAGCAGTGGTGGTGGTGGTGGTAGTGATAGAAGTAGTAGTGGTAGTAGTAGTAGTAGTAGTAGTAGTAGTAGTAGCAGTAGTGAAAATAGCAGTGGTGGTGGTAGTGGTAGTAGTAGCAGTAGTAGTAGTGTAAAAAGCAGTGGTGGTGGTGGTAGTGAAGGAAGTAGTAGCAGTAGTAGTGGTAGTGGTAGTAGTAGTAGCAGTAGTAGTGTAAATAGCAGTGGTGGTTGTGGTAGTGATAGAAGTAGAAGTAGTAGCAGTAGTAGTAGTGTAAAAAGCAGTGGTGGTGGTGGTAGTGAAGGAAGTAGTAGCAGTAGTAGTGGTAGTGGTAGTAGTAGTAGCAGTAGTAGTGTAAATAGCAGTGGTGGTTGTGGTAGTGATAGAAGTAGAAGTAGTAGCAGTAGTAGTAGTGTAAATAGCAGTGGTGGTGGTGGTAGTGAAGGAAGTAGTAGCAGTAGTAGTGGTAGTGGTAGTAGTAGTAGCAGTAGTAGTGTAAATAGCAGTGGTGGTGGTGGTGGTAGTGATAGAAGTAGTAGTGGTAGTAGTAGTAGTAGTAGTAGTAGTAGTAGTAGTAGTAGTAGCAGTAGTGAAAATAGCAGTGGTGGTGGTAGTGGTAGTAGTAGCAGTAGTAGTAGTGTAAAAAGCAGTGGTGGTGGTGGTAGTGAAGGAAGTAGTAGCAGTAGTAGTGGTAGTGGTAGTAGTAGTAGCAGTAGTAGTGTAAATAGCAGTGGTGGTTGTGGTAGTGATAGAAGTAGAAGTAGTAGCAGTAGTAGTAGTGTAAAAAGCAGTGGTGGTGGTGGTAGTGAAGGAAGTAGTAGCAGTAGTAGTGGTAGTGGTAGTAGTAGTAGCAGTAGTAGTGTAAATAGCAGTGGTGGTTGTGGTAGTGATAGAAGTAGAAGTAGTAGCAGTAGTAGTAGTGTAAATAGCAGTGGTGGTGGTGGTAGTGAAGGAAGTAGTAGTAGTAGTAGTAGTAGTGGTAGTGGTAGTAGTAGTAGCAGTAGTAGTAGTGAAAATAGCAGTGGTGGTGGTGGTAGTGATAGAAGTAGTAGTAGTAGTGGTGGTAGTGGTAGTAGTAGTGGTAGTAGTAGTAGTAGTACTAGTAGTGGTAGCAGTAGTAATAGTGTAAATAGAAGTGGTGGTGGTGGTAGTGATAGAAGTAGTAGTAGTAGTAGTAGTAGTGGTAGTGGTAGTAGTAGTAGCAGTAGTAGTAGTGAAAATAGCAGTGGTGGTGGTGGTAGTGATAGAAGTAGTAGTAGTGGTAGTGGTAGTGGTAGTGGTAGTAGTAGTAGTAGTAGTAGTAGTAGCAGTAGTAGTAGTGTAAATAGCAGTGGTGATGGTGGTAGTGATAGAAGTAGAAGTAGTAGTAGTAGTGGTAGTAGTAGTAGTAGTAGTAGTAGTAGTAGTAGTAGTGAAAATAGCAGTGGTAGTGGCAGTAGTAGTGGTGGTGATAGTAGTAGTAGTAGTACTAGTGAAAATGGTAGTGGTAGTAGTAGTATAAGTGGTGGCAGTGGTGGTGATAGTGGTAGTAGTAGTAGTAGTAGTAGTAGTAGTAGTAGTAGTAGTAGTAGTAGTGGTGGTTGTGGTGGTAGTGGTTGTGATAGTAGTAGTTGTCGTAGTAGTAGTAGTAGTGGTAGTGGTGGTGATAGTGGTAGTAGTAGTCGTAGTAGTAGTAGTAGTGGTGGTTGTGGTGGTGATAGAAGTAGTAGTGGTAGTAGTAGTAGTATTAGTGGTGGTAGTGTTTGTGATAGAAGTAGTCGTAGTAGTAGTGGTGGTTGTGGTGGTGATAGTAATAGTAGTAGTAGTAGTGGTGGTTGTGGTGGTGATAGAAGTAGTGGTAGTAGTATTAGTGGTGGTTGTGGTGGTGATAGTAGTAGTAGTAGTCGTAGTAGTAGTAGTAGTAGTAGTAGTAGTAGTAGTGGTAGTGGTGGTGATAGTAGTAGTAGTAGTAGTTGTGGTTGTGATAGTAGTAGTAGTAGTAGTAGTAGTAGTAGTAGTAGTAATAGTTTATCTTCATGATAATGTTAACATAAGTTACGAAGATTTTTTGTACACGCATTTAATTGCCAAGATTATGATGTGTGTATATAAATGTGTTTCAGACTATTACCGGTGAAAGAGAACTTTCTCTGTCGCCCGATTTTCAAAGTGAGTAAAGCTGTGTTCCTGCTTTCCTGCAGAATAGCATTTCTGGGTACAAACACTCATTTTACAAGTTCGACTGTTACCTAGCGCATTCAGGTACCAACCATTACATTAATATGTCTCATTCGATTTTTAACACATGCTTCTTGAAGTGGGCACACCTATGGTTTTAGAGTGAGTGAGTGGTTGAGTGGTTTTACGCCGCTTAGCAATATTCCAGCAATATCACGGCAGGGGACACCAGAAATGGGCTTCACACATTGTACCCATGTGGGGAATCAAACCAGAGTCTTCGGCGTGTCGAGTGAGCGCTTTAACCACTAGACTATGCCACCACCCCCTGTGGTTTTACTAGATTACTAGATTACAACAAAGTGTTTACTTGTTGCTCAATTATTCAAACTATTCACGACACGAATTCGTTGTGCACAGTTCTGTCCCTTAGCAGTCCCAGGATCCAATGATCAGTGGTTCGAATACCAGATTCGTCCCAATCATAATCCTTGTTTTGTCAGCACCATACATCTGCTCGTGGGTGGCACCAAAGTGGTAAACGTCTCGGACCTGCGCTTGTTTGGACTGTCCTCCCATATTAATGTGACACGCCGTCAAAACTGTGGCTTTAAAACCATCCCTAATTTTCGTTTTTGGTGACCATTCAAGAATTAGGAACAGGTTTCCATTGTTAGCTACTGGAGAATTTCTACTATAACGGCAAGCTGGTATTTCTTCTGACCACAGAGTGCCTCTAAACTGACGAAGGAAGACGTGGAACAGGTGTTCGCCTTATACGATAGGGTAAGTTCACCTGGCTACGTCTTGTGTCGGAACACCTTTGAATGGAACACACCCCTTACTAGAATTAGGAAGACAGTATATGTACCCATCGTATATTGCGTATATACATTAAACGTAAAACTTAATTGTGTACTTCCGGAATGTGTCTCTTTGTAATATTCCTCGGGGTAGATTCCACATTAAAAGTAATATAGACTTGAAGTGGTTTTGAGGTCAAGGTCACTCTTAACGAATAGACATTATGTGATATTTTAGAGCATGCCTATGCATACCAGTCATACAAAAAGGTCAGAATAATATGGTTGCTTTAGTAGTGTTATTTCTCACACAGGATCATAATGAAAGTATCGAGAATGATGAACTGCATGGCTTCCTGAAGGATTTGATGGAACTGGTTCAAGAAGTGAGCTATATTTCACGAACTATTTCACTGTTGTGACCAGATATATTTATGCTCTGGTTTTATTTCTTGTCAAAAAATAAACTTTATTCAAAGTATGTTCGACCCGTGAAGATTCGAGTTAGAACTGGTCTTCAGCAACCCATGCTTGTCGTAAGCGGCGACTATCAGAATAGGGTGTTAAGGCTTGCTGACTTGTTTGATGCATATAATCGTATTCCAGTTATGTGGATCGATACTCATGATATCAACCACTGGATTGTCTGGTCCAGACTCGATTATTTACAAACCGTCGTCATATTGCTGAGTGCCGAGTTCAACAAATCAAATTACCTTCAACATACCTTATGACATCACTATGGTGTAGAAAGTTACCTTCGTCTGATCATAACGATCAAAATAATATTCTCGTGATATTTTGAGTTGTGTGTTGATTTTTTTCAAGGATTACGACGCGGAGGATTTGGCTGACTTGAAAGACCTACTGTTATTCTCCTGTGAAAACAAGGAGGGCAAAATCAACAAGGAGGAACTGACAGTTGTCCTGATGAACAGACAAGAAGAGTGCCCTAAAGGACTGGCGGCCGCCCTTACCCAGGATCCAAACTGACAAGCCGGTCCACAATGGCCTTCATTATAACAGCTCTTCCATGCAACATGCACCTGTTTATAATCCTGGTTCAATGTGACAGCAGAACGTGTGTCTGTGCTGTACGTCTGGCCTGGAGGCCAGCATGGGAGACACGAACCTCTTACTTGGATAACTGTGCATATCTTCACACAAACACTGTGACATGGCTTGGGTTTCTCTACACCAATTCCTCCCATACTGAACGTCTATCAATAAAAAGCACTGTATGTGTTGCTTCAACCATGTGACTCTTTGGGTGATGTGCATTTATTTTACTTGCTTTCCGACAAACTATAGATTTCTTGAATGTTCATTAAATTGATAGCAACAAAATCCGAAAATTTGTAATCATTTATGAAAGGGTGTTTTCATAATATAGGAAACACTCAACAGTGCGGCTGCTAGACACGTGGCTGATGGGCAGTATTTACACTTTATACACTGTACACGTCAGTTGACCGAACCTTTGGATGTGTAGACACTATACATGTCAGCTGACTCCAACACGATGCTGTGTAGACACTGTACACGTCAGTTCACTCCGACAGGTTGCTGTGTAGACACTGTACACGTCAGGTGACTCCAACACGATGCTGTGTAGACACTGTACAATCAGTTCACTCCGACACGATGCTGTGTAGACACTGTACACGTCAGGTGACTCCAACACGATGCTGTGTAGACACTGTACACGTCAGTTCACTCCGACACGTTGCTGTGTAGACACTGTACACGTCAGGTGACTCCGACACGTTGCTGTGTAGACACTGTACACGTCAGTCCACTCCGATACGTTGCTGTGTAGACACTGTACACGTCAGGTGACTCCGACACGTTGCTGTGTAGACACTGTACACGTCAGTTCACTCCGACACGTTGCTGTGCAGACACTGTACACGTCAGTTCACTCCGCCACGTTGCTGTGTAGACACTGTACACGTCAGTTGACTCGAGCCTTTGGATGTGTAGACACTGTACACGTCAGTTGACTCCGACACATTGCTGTGTAGACACTGTACACGTTAAATCACTTGGGCACGTTGCTGTGTAGACACTCTACACGTCAGTTCACTCGGACACGTTGCTGTGTAGACACTGTACACGTCAGTTAACTCCGACACGTTGCTGTGTAGACACTGTACACGTCGGTTCACTCGGACACGTTGCTGTGTAGACACTGTACACGTCAGTTGACTACGACACGTTGCTGTGTAGACACTGTACACGTCAGTTCACTCCGACACGTTGCTGTGCAGACACTGTACACGTCAGTTCACTCCGCCACGTTGCTGTGTAGACACTGTACACGTCAGTTGACTCGAGCCTTTGGATGTGTAGACACTGTACACGTCAGTTGACTCCGACACATTGCTGTGTAGACACTGTACACGTTAAATCACTTGGGCACGTTGCTGTGTAGACACTCTACACGTCAGTTCACTCGGACACGTTGCTGTGTAGACACTGTACACGTCAGTTAACTCCGACACGTTGCTGTGTAGACACTGTACACGTCGGTTCACTCGGACACGTTGCTGTGTAGACACTGTACACGTCAGTTGACTCCGACACGTTGCTGTGTAGACACTGTACACGTCAGGTGACTCCGACACGTTGCTGTGTAGACACTCTACACGTCAGTTGACGCGAACATGTTGCTGTGTAAATACTGTACACGTCATTTCACTCGGACACGTTGCTGTGTAAATACTGTACACGTCAGTTCACTCGGACACGTTGCCGTGTAGACACTGTACACGTCTGTTCTCTCGGACATGTTGGTGTGTAGACACTGTACACGTCAGCGGACTCGAACACGTTGCTGTGTAGACACTGTACACGTCAGCGGACTCGAACACGTTGCTGTGTAGACACTGTACACGTCAGTGTACGCGAATATGTTGCTGTGTAGACACTGTACACGTCAGTGTACGCGAACACGCTGCTGTGTAGACACTGTACACGTCAGTGTACGCGAACACGTTGCTGTGTAGACACTGTACACGTTAGTTCACTCGGGCACATTGCCGTGTAGACACTCTACACGTCAGTTGACTCCGACATGTTGCTGTGTAGATAATTTACAAGTCAGTGTACGCGAACACGTTGCTGTGTAGACACTGTACATGTCAGTTGACTTGAACACGATGCTGTGTAGACACTGTACACGTCAGTTGACTTGAACACGTTGCCGTGTAGATACTCTACACATTAGTTCACTCGGACACGTTGCCGTGTAGACACTGTACATGTCAGTTGAGTTGAACACGTTGCTGTGTAGACACTCTACACGTCAGTTGAGGCGAACACGTTGCTGTGTAGACACTTTACACGTCAGTTGACTTGAACACGTTGCTGTGTAGACACTGTACATGTCAGTTGACTTGAACACGATGCTGTGTAGACACTGTACACGTCAGTTCACTCGGACACGTTGCCGTGTAGATACTCTACACGTCAGGTGACTCCAACACGATGCTGTGTAGACACTGTACACGTCAGGTGACTCCGACACGATGCTGTGTAGACACTGTACACGTCAGTTCACTCCGACACGTTGCCGTGTAGATACTCTACACGTCAGGTGACTCCAACACGATGCTGTGTAGACACTGTACACGTCAGGTGACTCCGACACGATGCTGTGTAGACACTGTACACGTCAGTTCACTCCGACGCGTTGCCGTGTAGACACTCTACACGTCAGGTGACTCCGACACGATGCTTACAGACACTGTACACGTCAGTTCACTCGAACACGTTGCTGTGTAGACACTGTACACGTCAGGTGACTCCGACACGATGCTGTGTAGACACTGTACACGTCAGTTCACTCGGACACGTTGCCGTGTAGATACTCTACACGTCAGGTGACTCCGACATGATGCTGTGTAGACACTGTACACGTCAGGTGACTCCGACACGTTGCTGTGTAGACACTGTACACGTCAGTGTACGCGAACACGTTGCTGTGTAGACACTGTACACGTCAGTGTACGCGAACACGTTGTTGTGTAGACATTGTACACGTCAGTTCACTCGGGCACGTAGCCGTGTAGACACTCTACACGTCAGGTGACTCCGACACAATGCTGTGTAGACACTGTACCGTCAGTTGACTCCGACACGTTGCTGTGTAGACACTGTACACGTCAGTTGACTCCGACACGTTGCTGTTTAGACAATGTACACGTCAGGTGACTCCGACACGATGCTGTGTAGACACTGTACACGTCAGTTGACTCGAACATGTTGCTGTGTAGACACTGTACACCTCAGTTCACTGGGACATGTTGCCGTGTAGACACTGTACACATCTGTTCTCTCGGACACGTTGACGTGTAGACACTCTACACGTCAGTGTACGCGAACACGTTGCTGTGTAGACATTGTACACGTCAGGTGACTCGAACACGATGCTGTGTTGACACTGTACACGTCAGTTCACTGGGACATGTTGCCGTGTAGACACTGTACACATCTGTTCTCTCGGACACGTTGCTGTGTAGACACTATACACGTCAGGTGACTCGAACCTTTGGATGTGTAGACACTGTACACATCAGTTCACTCGGACACGTTGGTGTGTAAACACTGTACACGTCTGTTCTCTCGGACACGTTGGTGTGTAAACACTGTACACGTCTGTTCTCTCGGACACGTTGGTGTGTAACGACTGTACACGTAGGCGGACTCGAACCTTTGGATGTGTAGACACTGTACACGTCAGTTCACTCGGGCACGTTGGTGTGTAAACACTGTACACGTCAGTTCACTCGGACACGTTGGTGTGTAAACACTGTACACGTCAGTTCACTCGGGCACGTTGGTGTGTAAACACTGTACACGTCAGTTCACTCGGGCACGTTGCTGTGTAGACACTGTACACGTCAGTTCACTGGGACACGTTGCCGTGTAGACACTGTACACGTCAGTTCACTGGGACACGTTACCGTGTAGACACTGTACACGTCAGTTCACTCGGACACGTTGGTGTGTAAACACTGTACACGTCAGTTAACTCCGACACGTTGGTGTGTAGACACTGTACACGTCAAATTACTCGAACCTTTGGATGTGTAGACATTGTACACGTGAGTTCACTCGGACACGTTGCCGTGTAGACACTGTACACGCCATTTCACTCGAACCTTGGGATGTGTAGACACTGTACACGTCATTTCACTCGAACCTTGGGATGTGTAGACACTGTACACGTGAGTTCATTCGGACATGTTGCTGTGTAGACACTGTACACGCCATTTCACTCGAACCTTGGGATGTGTAGACACTGTACACGTCAGTTGACTCGGACACGTTGCCGTGTAGACACTGTACACGCCATTTCACTCGAACCTTGGGATGTGTAGACACTGTACACGCCATTTCACTCGAACCTTGGGATGTGTAGACACTGTACACGTCAGTTGACTCGGACACGTTGCCGTGTAGACACTGTACACGCCATTTCACTCGAACCTTGGGATGTGTAGACACTGTACACGCCATTTCACTCGAACCTTGGGATGTGTAGACACTGTACACGTCATTTCACTCGAACCTTGGGATGTGTAGACACTGTACACGTGAGTTCACTCGGACACGTTGCCGTGTAGACACTGTACACGCCATTTCACTCGAACCTTGGGATGTGTAGACACTGTTCACGCCATTTCACTCGAACCTTGGGATGTGTAGACACTGTTCACGCCATTTCACTCGAACCTTGGGATGTGTAGACACTGTACACGTCAGTTCACTCGAACCTTGGGATGTGTAGACACTGTACACGTCATTTCACTCGAACCTTGGCATGTGTAGACATTGTACACGCCATTTCACTCGAACCTTGGGATGTGTAGACACTGTACACGCCATTTCACTCGAACCTTGGGATGTGTAGACACTGTACACGTCATTTCACTCGAACCTTGGCATGTGTAGACACTGTACACGTCATTTCACTCGAACCTTGGGATGTGTAGACACTGTACACGTCATTTCACTCGAACCTTGGGATGTGTAGACACTGTACACGTCATTTCACTCGAACCTTGGGATGTGTAGACACTGTACACGTCATTTCACTTGAACCTTGGGATGTGTAGACACTGAACACGTGAGTTCACTCGGACACGTTGCCGTGTAGACACTGTACACGCCATTTCACTCGAACCTTGGGATGTGTAGACACTGTACACGCAATTTCACTCGAACCTTGGGATGTGTAGACGCTGTACACGTCCATTCACTCGAACCTTGGGATGTGTAGACACTGTACACGTCATTTCACTCGAACCTTGGGATGTGTAGACACTGTACACGTCATTTCA